CTTGAAGAAGCGGCAAAACTTGTTGCTGATGAGGTAATGCAAGGTGTTGAAGATGTGGCTGAAATTCATGATATACAGGTGACACTTCGTACCGATGAGCTTGCGCAGAGTATTCGACAATTGAAAGTAAGTCATCTTAAATGCTGCAAACATTCAATTTCCTTCTACCATGAATGAACTATAACATTTTCATCATCTAAGCTTTCTCTTTACAGAGTGCCCAAGTATCTCGTTTGGTTAAAATATCCGGAATTATAGTTGCTGCATCACAAGTAAGAGCAAAAGCCACTCGCATTTCGATTCAATGTCGAACATGTCGGCATACCATAACCAATATTGATCTGAAGCCCGGACTCGATGGTTTTACATTACCACGCAGTTGTGGAGCGTAATATTTTGGTCTACTTTCATTCCTTCAAAAGAGGCTTTTTTGGCCGATATTACCATTAAAAAAAGTTTCAGTCTCATCATGAAAAATTTGCTATTTTTCCAGGCTGTTAAGGAGAATTTCTTATTACTTTTCATTTCTTATTACTTTTCATAATTTTGTTCAGCAATCAGACGACTCAACTGCAACGCTGTCCCGTTGATCCGTATCATATCATGCCCGATAAGTGCCACTGTATTGATTTCCAAACGTTGAAGCTTCAGGAAAATCCAGAAGCTGTGCCCCATGGAGAAATGCCTCGTCATATGCAACTTTATTGTGATCGGTTGGTTCATGTAAATATTTTGGTTGCTAGAGTTCAGGCGAGCGGGTACTTTTTCGGTGTACATTCGTTACAAATAGATATTTCGCCCTTCGATTCTGGACTAAAACTCTTTTTATAAAAATTAAGAATCAGAGGCATGCTTTTTTTCATTTTGTCGTATTACTTGAAGGAGGGAAGTTTTCAGTACTTTATCGGAGTTCTGCAGATTTTTGAAAAACTTCCCTGATAACGTTCTTTTATTGATTTACAGCCATTTAACAGATCGCGTTGCACCAGGAAACCGCGTTATGATTGTTGGCATATATTCCATAAAGCGAATGTTCCAAAAGCAGGTAAAAAAGCCACCCAAAATTATTCACAATCTGGAAAATGTGATCAGATTTTTCTTCACTCGGTTCTTTAATTTTTTCAGAAGACAAATGATAAGACATTGTCAGGAATCCGTGCACCATATATTCGCGTACTTGGAATCCATGTACAAACAAGTGGTCCAGGACGTGCCGAACAGCGGCAGTTCACAGTTGAGGAAGAGAAAATATTCAAGTATTTTGCTTTTCATGAATTTAAGGCCAATCACTTATTTGTGAAAGTGAAATAAAGCGATGCGATTGTTTTAGGGATTTATCCAAGAAAAGCAATATATATGATCTAGTCGCTCACAGCATTGCTCCATCGATTTATGGTGCAGAAGATATCAAGAAATCAATCGCCTGCTTGCTGTTCGGTGGTTCGCGCAAAAGGTTCTCATTCAATCATGTATTATTGCAAAATTCATAATTTACATCCTGTGTTGTTTAGATTGCCTGATGGTTTAACTCGACGTGGTGACATCAATATTTTATTGTTAGGAGATCCTGGTACTGCAAAAAGTCAGCTGTTGAAATTCGTAGAAAAGGTTCTCTTTCTCGTTTAATGTAGCATTTGTTAAATCATTTTGTTTCATCGTACCATTCATTTGGAATGGTTGGAGTAAAATTTCCTAGAAATTAAGCAGTGTTTTTGATTGCTGTAACATGTGCTGTATTAAGGTTGCACCGATTGCTGTCTATACATCAGGTAAAGGTAGCAGTGCTGCTGGATTGACTGCCTCTGTGAATCGCGATCCGCAATCGGTATTTTTCTTTGTTGTTACTGACGCAAAAATCTTTTCTTGCTGTGCGAAGATATTTTTTATAACTACTGCTTGTGATTGTTTTCATTTATGAAGCTTTAGCGATCGTTTATAATGGAAGGCGGTGCTATGGTACTTGCCGATGGTGGGATCGTTTGCATCGATGAGTTTGATAAGATGAGAGAAGACGATCGAGTGGCTATCCATGAAGCGATGGAACAACAGACAATTAGTATTGCCAAAGTATTAATCAAGATCATTTTTTTTAATCGAAGAAAAACGGACCCAGAATAACTGTAGAAGATGATTTTTGCTATAGGCAGGCATCACTACGACACTTAATTCTCGTTGTTCTGTATTGGCAGCAGCAAATTCAGTATATGGCAGGTGGGATGATTCAAAAGGTGATGAAAATATTGACTTCATGCCGACTATACTGTCACGATTTGATATGATTTACATTGTTAAGGACACTCACAACGTCGCACATGATACGGTAAGCATAACAGAAATATATTTATTTGCTGATTAGGAATAAAGTAACTTCATTCATCATTTTATCTTTTCTCATATAAGTTCTTTGATAAGAGCGCTCCTGAAATCAGTCACTGTGCGTGTTGCTGTCACAGGTTGAGCAGCGTTGCTTTGTTATCAAGCTAGGTCTGTTTCAAATTGCGCACTTATCAACGTGATCATGGCAACCACTGTTGTCGCTAATTACTTGATGGCTAGAATTTTGACTTTCAATTTTTATAGTACAGTTTTTGGATAGTTTGGTTTGTTCAAAAAATTAAATTATTTCTATGTATTTTTGATGAAATTCTTATTGCAGATATTAGCTAAGCATGTTATCTCGGTACATGTAAATGCCTCCAATAATCGTCTGCAAGAGACAGCTGTTGAAGGAGAGTTGTCGTTGGAGCTCTTGAAAAAGTCTGTTTTAGTTTCTTTTTTTCTCTTTATAACGTTTTTTCTTTCAACAAAATCAATTCTATTCTCACATTCAGGTATATTACACATTGCCGTAGTGCATGTGCACCACGACTTTCAACAACTGCAAGTCAGAAGCTTATCCACAATTATGTCCGACTTCGCAATCCTGTAATAGATGCTGAGCATAAACGTTGGTTGTTTAAAGTTATTTTGTTACTGAAGGAAAATATATATGTGTATAAATTCGTTCAGGCTAACTGAGCGAAATGACGAAATCCTGTAAACTAGGATTTTTTCAGAGACAACAGCTCGTTCTGCTATTCCAATAACTGTACGACAGTTGGAAGCTATAATACGGATAAGTGAATCATTGGCAAAAATGGAACTACTCCCTTTTGCTGCAGAACGTCATGTGGATGAGGCACTTCGTCTCTTCCGAGTTTCCACCATTGAAGCAGTTGCATCTGGAAACTTGATTGGTATATTTTTATTTTGAATGTTCAACACAACTGGGTAAAAGGATCTGGCAGCTGACATTTTTGGAATTTTTTTTTAGGATTAATCGGTATTTGACAAATATTTACTTTCCACATTGCTTGAAACTGTCTATCGAAACTGGGAACTATTTTTTGAACACAGTAATATATCTCTCTCGCTGGATACTTGATATTTCACCATAACTTACAGAAGTCTGTTTATTCTTCGATTTCTATAAGGGGCGATTTTGAAACTTATTAAAATGTGCTTATGCTAGGCATCGAAGGTTTTACCAGTGCTGAGGACCAAGAATCATTTAGTCGTATTGAACGTCAGTTGAAGAAGCGATTTGCATTGGGAACTCACGTTTCTGAGTATCTTATCGTTCAAGATTTTGTTCGACAGAATTATCCAGAAATGCTTGTCAAGAAGGTATATTTATTCATCTACTGAATTATGAAACAAAATTGACCTGATATATCTTGTTGTCATACTTGATAATTCTAATGAGCAGTTCCAGGTAGTCTAATATATTGATCTTGATCATTAAGTGAAGAGTCCGTACTATATCAACCGCTTTCACTGAGTTCAGTGTTAGGGGTAGTTTTTTAATTTTTAAATATACGATTAATCATTAATCATGTAATCATGTAACAACGATTACTTTCAAAAATTACTGTTATTTATCCTCAGTAATCATCTCAGACAACAATTTTTCAATCTTTTTCCAAATTTCAAGAGAGCTCGAAATTTTTTAAGGTGATTCAGTCATGCATTCGGCGTGGTGAGCTTCAATATCGTATGCAGAGAAAAATGTTGTATCGAGTTAAATGATCTTATCTTGCATTATATCTTTTTTACATATAATGTTCTATGAAATGGAAAATTTCAAGAACGTGATGAAATTCTTTCGGAAAAAGCAATTTGATTTTGAAATTGTTGCTTTCTGAAAATTGCATATCTTATTGGTATTTCATTTTTTTCGTGCTTTTAAACATTGAAGAGATCTTCCGTAATGATCCTTTCTGTGATTTGCAATTAATAAGAGATTAGTATGGTAGACTGTTCTCGTTCGCTATTGCCTGAAAAATACATCTAGGGAAATAAGCTGGAATAAATCTCATAAGTTCTCAAAATTCTATAAAATTTTCGTTTTTTTCTGTATATGTTTTTTTTCTTTTTTTTTTAATATATGACTTACCCGAATTGTTGATATCTGTTTCATCTTGCTATTTTTTTCAGTACTTTCATGGAATACTGTACGAATCTGGAATAAAAACTGACAAATTAAATGTGCTTGAGAATCAAATTATATTGACAATCATTACAAAAGATAGCATCTTTTTAATTTTCAATGTAATGTTACTATATAGTGGTAATGATCACATGTTGAAAAACTTGCAAATGATTTGGTAGTTTATCTTTTGCTATTCAAACTAATATTATTCTACTTTGTGCTTACATTTAATATGACATAAATACTCCAGAATATTGCGCTTGACATATATACTGCCATCATAAATAGTATATTTGGTTGTACACTCATTGAATCGGTGATAATATAAAAGTAATATACTGTTACACCAATACATCGTAAAATTTCCTGATATGATGCATAGAACCTTAAAAATTTTTTCATACAAAGGAAGTTTTGAATTTTGAATTTTGATTTTAACTTCTAACGATAATTTGAAAATAAAAATGAAGTAGTTTACGTGCTTCTAATTGGTCCATATTTTCTTCCCTCCACTTAACCTTTTTCATTTATAGTCATACAAATTGATATAATCAACGTGTTTAGTAAGAAACTTTTTTTTGGACAATGCTTAACGTAATCGTAAGTTCATTTTATCTTTTAGGATAAACTCTCTACGGTATACCAAAAATTACGTCAACTTAAACTCAATAACATGACATGTCATCTTAAATTGTTCAATCGTGATACAATCATACAATCCTCTTTAAATCATACATCAAAGAAGGCATATTGTAAGCATTCTTTTCCGTTCTTTTCATTCTTTGTATTTATGAATGACAATTTTGTCACGTGATGTTTGTATTTTCTCTCTAACATTAATTCAGTTATAATTTCATTTCTTGTTAAGTATGGATATTTAATGAGATATCCAATTCGGAAACTTCAGATAATCTAAGATCAAAAATTCTTGATATTTTTCATATCTTTGGCATTATTTTCTGGATCGATAGATGCATACGATAATGAGATAGTTTTGTACCGGTTGTACCTGTTTATATTTTGCAGGTAAGGATATAACGTCTACAAATTGATCGATGTATAATAACACTGCCACACTTGGACGATGTTTGTTTTGGAAAATATAGAATGGTGTTTAGTGAGAGAATAATTTAGTACGAAATCACGTATCACGTACGTAAATGTTAAACAATTTTAGAAATATTTTCCTAAATAAATTGAAGCATTGGTAATTTGAATGTATAAAAAAGAAAAAATAATAATAAGCAACAAACTTGCGATCGAAAAAAGCTCCCAGACAATGTATCGTTATGATAAAGAATGCTAATTTAAGGTTGAAATCAAAATATGACAATTGGCTACGATCGAATTCGAAATGAAAAAATGCCACTAATAACAATAAGAAATGTCCAAAACAGTATGTTTTTTTCCAGCAAGGAGTTTGTGGATTATAACGGACTATTTCATTTTCAACCTAAATTATTTTAATTCAAATTTATTAAAATTAGAAATGAAAAAATTTTTGAAAATTTCGATAAAATTAATAACTGTTATCTGTTTGTTCTATTAATAACTGTTATCTGTTTGTTCTTTTTTTTTTTTTTATTTTTTTTAAAGTATTTAGTAAATTTAATTCA